CCTCCAAAATTTTGCTGTCGAGCGAGGGGGAGGTCGTCAGGATTTAACTATCATTTTCAACTGTCGGAAATAGTAGTTGTATAGATCTTTGGCAGTCCCTCTCCCAACAACGACCAAATACGACCCCCCCCCCCGTGATCATCACAACGATGGCGTGCTCTGCTATCGAGTCACGCTCGCCAATGTAGGCTCCGGCGCAGCGGGCGCCTTATGGGTTGGATTTCGCGGGCGCTTGTGCTTGTCGGGTTCGCGACCGCGCTCCTCAAGGAATTACGTGCATGGCGACAAGAGCGTTCATACTTTGCGTCAGCATTTGAGCGTTTGAGTGCTTGATAATGTGTAGGTATCGATCGAGCGTTTTCAGCGGCTAGGAAAGCATAGGTATCGATCTGACGCATGTTGACACACGCTAGATCGATACCTATACTACTTTGCTAGTCGCTTAACGCTGGCGTACACACAAAAACTGATGCAAACAAGGCACTTCCTGCCGCTGGGGAAATTTTTCGGAAAATGCGGTCCCACTGGTTCCCTCCTAAAGGTACGGTACTCCTCCCCCTCCCCCATCCTACCTACCACTTTCCTTCCTAGATTTCCCCGACTCGTACCACGTTTTCCAGTTCCAGCTTTCCGGAACTTGCCGAGAATTTTCTAATACCTCCCCAAATTTTGCTGTTGAGCGGGAGGAGGACGTGGCCTAGGCGCAGGTATGAACGCACTGCAGCGCTATTTGCGCCAAAAGTCGTGTTTCTTCAGCCAAGCGCCCATTCCTCGCCACTGCTCCAGCTTTTGACTATCACGTGTGGTCCAACATCGCAAACTTTCTGAAAATTCTATTGCACATATTTCAGACCACTACCGACGACGGACCAAGCGGCTCCTTGTTATCAGGCTTTCCACCACCTCGAGGAAAAACCAGGGATCCGCCACCTTACGAGAGAGCTCTCGATATTCAGAGAACTACTACCACCCAATTGAATCCACATCTTCACCTTCAAGTAAGCAAGGGATCCTCAAAAAAGTATTGAGGAACTTATGTGCTGCCCTTCTGACTCTTTAAAAACTTCTGATTTCAGCCCAGCGTTGTTCAGTCAATTGCGGTTGGGCCAATGGCTGCCGAAGCTGCTGGAGGGCAACCGGCTTTCCCTCCAGCGTCAGCCACCCAATTCGCCACTCATGACTATTTATATGATGGAAGTAAGATTGTGGTTGGTGTAGTGCGCAGCTCAAAAGCATATTTTTTTAATTTTCAGAAGGGTTGAGCACGGAACGCCTGCAGCGGAGCTGCCCTATGATGCACGATGTTACGTTGAATCGAAGCATTTTTAAATATTTAAAAAATCTTAAACAAGAACAAATATTTTGTTCATGGAGCAAATTATTTCTTGAATCGAATAGTCTTCTCAGTCACCAACGAAGACCGTCGTCATGCATCGACCTCACATCCGAATACGTCACACACTTGCCACTGCCAGTCTTGACAGGTACTGCTCTTGCAGATTTTCGGTCTTACAGGAAAACATCTTCGAACGTGGACGTTTATGGTAGAGGAGTGGGAAAGGTCGTATCGGTTTGCTGAGAAATCGTAATCGGTATATAGAGATGCGGATTTTTCACTAATTTCAGTGTTCTCTACGATCTCCCTTGTCTTCCCTGGTGACGACTTTTTTTATGGGCTAAGGGATGAGGAGGGGGAAAGGAGAGAGATGGGGCGAAGCAGGAGTTAGCGTTTGAAAAGAACGAGGTTCTTTTTTGCGGTGCATGACCACCAGGGTCGCGTAGAAGGCATTATATTAGTGCGGCGATAATTCAGTATCTGGTCAAGAATAGTAAACAGTTTCGGCTAATAGAAGGCAAAATAACGAAGAAGTGCAGGTAAACGGCCTAAAACCTGTGAAATAACCTTTGTTCTGCGTGGCACTCGACGAGCATTTCTGGACGAGTTCGCCGTTGGCATCGTGCCGACAACCGCTTTGATAGATACGGCTGCACCTATTCATATTCATGTAGCGACGCTCGATATCATGTACTTTCTGAATGAAGCGGTAAGAGTGCCAGCGTCGATGCGACTGTCGGCACTAGTGGGCGGGCGGTTGCGGTGGGCGTCTGGGTCGGCATGTTGCATTTGGTTAGGCGCTATAACGGTGCCCTTGGTTGGAAAAGGCGCCACGCAGCGCCTGCTAAGGGGCACAATATTCTTTCGTGCTAGGCGTATTGACCCTGTACGCCTTGTCGATTTATCGTGCCACTTCCCTTTATACATTCAGTTGCTCGCCTGGTATGAAATACCCTTATTCTGCTATTGTTGAAGAACTTCATGCTCATTTTTTATCCCCTAGGCAATTTCCATGTTCCACTTCACCGAGGCGACTATTTCCCCGACTCTGCTGTACACAACTATGCACCATACGTGAGGACACCGAATGTAATGCCAGCAGCGTGAGTCCTTTTTCTCTTTTTCCGTTCCAGTTCCTTGTTGACCTTTGCCTACTCTGCTCATGAGTCTTGCCCATTCAGATATGCGTGGCGACCAACGGCTCCTGCAGCCGTTATGGACCTTCCACCACCTCCACCATATCCTGCTGGTCGAAAGGCACCGATGGTCATGTGAGGCATGGGACGGACTCGTTCAGCCATATCAACATTAGCATAGAACGCAGTTGACGAGTAGTCCTACCTGCCAAATCTCGTGCTACCTCGCCTCTCATCATCGTTTAAAATGTATAATAGTGTTTCGACATTAGATAGAAAAGAGGAGAAGATACATACAAGATGTATTGAGTTTTATTTGACATTTTGTTTTCTTTTTTTTGTCCATTTCTTTTTGGTTCTTCGTTCTTTTGTTCGTCTATTCCTTGCTGCACGTGTTTATTACGACTGTTTTCGTCGGTGCTCGATTCACTTGCCATGCGTCCACTTAGCATACAGTTCGCTTGCTCCACGAGAAAGCTCAATCCGAATTTTTATTACCGTTTCCATGTTACTGTATAGATGTGAATTGATCATTCCTTTATAAAATATTTTCTGAAACTGGAGTCGAGTACATTACACCACTGACAGCAATGATTTATCCTGAAGGTTCCACTAGCCCTAAGCCATAAGGCTGGTCCAAAGGTGACGAAACGTCAACTTTTTTGAAAAAAGTTCTGTTCAAGGATACCAACCAAATAACTGCCGTTCTTTGAAATTGATTTTTATGATAACTGCTGTTTGACACTGTTGTTCGCGCTACAAAAGTCACAAGAATGCTGAGTTGTGGACAAAAGTTTTGACCTCAGGTGGGTCTCCAACCCACACCTCACGTCGTTACGCCACCAGGGACGTAACTTTCAGTGTGCGAATCGCGGCTAAAACAGCTGCTGTCATAGTAAAACAACTTCAAAAAACTTGCAAGATCAGCCCCGCGGCTCACAGCCGATATCTAACGATATGATTGACCGGCTCACTATATCAACGTGTGAGTGCTGTACGGTCGCGGCATAGAAACCGTCAAGCTGAAAGCCGTAAGAGCGGCCCTGATAGCTCACTCGCCGAGCGGGTTCGGAGCCCGCTTTGGGTCAGGATTTTTGAGCATGACTTAGGGAAAACAATGGCCCTTATGACCATACATACATATGCCCCACTTCATTAGACTATCACTTTCAAAACTCCAGATATCAGGTGCTGCTGCTGGAAAAAGGACGAAACTCCAATTTCCAGTTATTTTCGTCGTCGAGTTCTTTCTCTTGAGAAACCACTCCAATGCACAATGCGAAAAGCATTCAGCACGGTACCGGCAGAAGAAGTTGAGATCAGATCTAAGCGCGGCAACCTGGCGAGTGAAGTTGTCACGAGGGCTCTTGTATTGTTATGAAATGAAACAACATAGCCGTTTTATCATGCTTCACATACAGTTGCGTTACCAAGTTGTCTTGTTTGAAGGAGAAGACCTGAGGTGCCACTGGGTGCTCCGGTGGCACCATTTTATAGTAAAGCATTTTCTTGAAATCCCACCTACGAATAGACAGAACCTTCTTTTCGTGCATACTCCTTTTCCGAGGTGGATCTCACCTATGTGGAAGCGGAAGCAAAAACCGGTAGGCATTCTCTCTCGCCGCTAACTGTGAGGAGCTGAAAAATGAGGGTATGTGACAAGAGAATCGCAATTCCCGCGCTGTGGGCCCGTCACGCGCGACGGGTCGCGTCGGCAAATGACCATGGTTCGAAGTCGCGACAACAAGCAGTTTGAAACCGAAAATACTCATAAATGTCTCAGTTTCGTAGCCCACGAGAAATCCAGTGCCCTTACAATCCAACAGCTAACTAGGAGCCGCCCACTCATCTCACGCGCGCGGAGCAGCGAATCCGATTCTGATGCCCGTCCCCGAAAAATGACACTGTGCGCTTATTCATTCGCGACCATCGGAGATGAGACGAGAATATATTCTGATGACGTATTGTAGTGATGGGGCACACGCAGTTGAACCTGATTGTCACTATGTTCTGCCTGTGATGGTGACTCATAAACAACTCTTTACAATTCCTACTATATATAAACGGCAACGTCTGTTTGTCTGTTTGTCTGTTGTCTGTCTGTCTGTCCGGAAATTCGGTTCAACCTGAACAGCCACTTTGAGGGGGCGTCAGGGCGATGAGTAGGCATGGGTCAAGATGTAAACACACATGAACTGAGCTAAGCTCCGCCCACTGTGGGCGGGGCATGCGCACGTTTGTGAGCTACATAGTTCAAAAATTCGTAGTTCGGTTCTAGAAGATCCCGGAGAGCGGAAATTGTGGGAAACGATAGGCAAACAGTTGGCGGACGGAATGAATGAAGCACACCCGCGATGGGCAGGGCGTTCGCCGAAGTGAACGGTGCCGGGGACAAAAACCCTCAAAACATATCCGAAAAACTCCAGGAAATGGGGAGTAAGTGAAACTGAGCAATGGTTGGGCAGATGAAGTTAGTTAGGAATAACCGTAGGGAGTATACCAAATATACCAAATGGTTGGTGCCATTTATTCTGCGCTTCCTCATCAGTGATTGCGGTATAGAAAATTTTGCT